TGCGCGGCGCGGGGTCGGGCCGCTGCGCGCCGCGCTACCTGCGCCTGCCGCCGCGCCGGGCTGCCCGGGGGAAACTTTGCAGGAGCGGCGCGGCCGCTTTCCGCCTGCCCCCTCCTGTCCGCGCCGCAGCGCTTCGCCGCCTCGTGCCCGCAAAAACAGCTTTCCCTCCCCTGACTTCATTGATGAATATATATTTTTTTCTTTTCCTCCCCCCCTTTATTGGTTTGCTAACTCCTAGCGCGAAATAATTCCTGGCGAAGGCTTTGGGCTTCTCGTTTCCAGAAGTCCTGCGTGTTTCCCACCTGCCCTTCGTTTCTGTGTTGCTGCCACCTTGTTAGCCACCCTAAAGGTGGGTTGGAAGAGTTTATGGGGGAATATTGTTGAACTTAAGTAATCAAGTTTCCAGATCTTATGCCTCCTGTTTAATTTATTAGACTAGTTATTTATTCTGTTGATGATAATCTGTTGCTGGTTTCTATGGAGATGTTAAACTGATCTCTTTCAGAAATCAAACTCCATATGCACTAAAACGTTTAAAGGAGCAGTGTCCCCTTTTGTTTTCAGACTTTGTACCTTTTCAGTGCTTTTATTGGGCTCCTGTATATTTTATATATTAAAGTCTGAAGTTGAAGCTTTCTGCAAGACAGAGCTTATTATGGCTAACAGAAAGTCAGGGCTTTGATCCTTTTTTTGCATCATCATTTAAAACAGATCATTTTTCCCCCCTCATCACACAAGATAGCAGAACCCTTTCAAGATCAAAGAGTCCAGCTAAAAACTATTGTTTAAAAAAAATAGAAAAAGAGCCTGTTAAATTAGGAGGATGTTTCCTTAATCTCCTTATTTTGTTCTAAAGATTTTTTTAGCAGTAGAAACAACAAGAACAAGAGAAACTTGTGGCAACTATTTTGTTATTTTTGTACCTCCCGAGCCTTTTTAATGTTAAAATAGGTTCAAAGTCAAATATCTCTAAAGATAAAGTGCTTGTTAGGGTGTTTTTATTACTTGGTTTCTAAATGTGGAAGGTCAGAATCCAGAAAGCTATCGCATTAGAGAAGGTTTTAATAGTCTTTGTCTCATCTTAATGAGAGAGAAATCTAAAAAACATTTTCACTTCAATATTTATCAGTTATTTTAAAGAAGAATCTCTGCATATGACTCAGTTTTCATTTTTTCTTAACTTATCCATTGTATCGTTACATTTGGTTCAGTGTGATATTACTTTTAAAAAAAGTGATTGAGGTGAGAAAAGAGAATTTCCTTTAAGCTTAAATTTGAGAACTCATAATAAGCTCCTGTGTTGATCAGGCTGATGCACGCTACAAACCAAATGTTTTTTTTGCTCATCTTCTGGAGAAAAGTTAAAGGTTGGCAGAGAAAATACTGCCAGCACAATGCATTTTTAACGCAGTAGAAGCAGTGTTGTACTTTTTCTTAGTATAGCTTCAAAATGTTTCGACTCCCTAGAAGAGAGACCTCTCTCCTCTCAGTACACTTCTAGTCTTAAAAATAAAAGAGTAAACCTAGAGGAAATAGTGCTTTTAACCAGTATAACTCATGTATGTATGTGTATGTGTGTATATGTGTGTATATATATACACACATATGTATATACATGTGTATATGTGTGTGTGTATATATATAAAACCATATAAAAAACCCTGTGGTCTGTAATCAGTCCATGCTAGATTCTATGTTTTTTTCTTGTTAATTTTTCTCTCTTTTTTTTGTGTGTGTGTGATCCCTAGTGCAGTGGTTCATTTTAAAATATTTTTGTAAATCTTCTGTTTATTTGTTTGATTTGAATTGCAAACAGAATCGACTCTGACAAGTAAAAAGAGCAAGGGGGAAAAAAAAGGAAACACTATGGCTTTAAACTCAGGAGTTTGCATATTCTCCTTGTATCTTTCCCCTTTGCTAATTATTGTGTTGTTTTCAGAGCAAATATGTCATATCCATGGCGACCAGGCAGGTTTATTGTCTTTCAGAAGCAATAGCTCACATAAGTAATTAATGACTTCTTTTTTTTTCCTCTGGCTTAGGTTAAACAGATCATTCAAGGAAAGTCATATCTCTCTCTCCCTCTCTCTCTCTCTCTCTCTTTTTTTTTTTTTAGCCCAGTGACATAAGAACATGAGTTAGAACAAGAAAATACTTTAACCAAGAAGTCAACAGCTTATTTTTCCTCATTTCTTTTTAAAAGCTCCAAGTGTCAGCTTTCCACACACATGACGTTGTCATTCTTGCAGTTTCAGAGTGAAGCCTTGGTACAGGGAAAAGCCACTGAAAGCTGGAGTTCGGTTGGTGGTTGTGCAGCTGAGCAAAGTGTGTGCGTGTGTGTCTCTGCATGTGTATGTATGTGCGGGGAGGTATTATTTTTGCTTAAGGGTTTTGCTGTGTACTGGGAAACACGTTTCCCCCAGTATTACCCCCAGTTCCCCCCCCCACCGTCATTCTATCTGTATTAAAATCAGTGTTAAAATAAAGGTGTGTTTTTTTGTATCTTACAGATTGTAATTCAAACAGTTTCCAGGAAAGAATTAGTAATTCAATTTTATATACAGCATATATACACACACACTTGAACTCCACCCAAAACAATCAAGCTAACTGGAAAAAAAAAAAACTTATTTCCTTTTTCTTTTCGAGCCCAAGCAAACTTGCGCAGTGACTTTCAAAAGCCTATTACAAATAGACCCCCATTTTTGCCAAGAGTTTGCTGCAGGTACGAATCTTGTCCTTTCCCTTTCCAACTGTGTTTCTTCCTATTAAACCAGAATTTGCTATCTGTCCAAGCCAGGGACTGGTTATCCGCTGTGATTTACTGAGGTGGTGATTTTCTTTCCCCCGCCCACAGGCACCTTCACCCCTGTTTTGTTTTTGCTAATTTCATTTTCAGAAGGATTTATACACAGTCCAGCTATATAAATTCCTCGTGAGATAAAAGCGCTGCGCACTTCCATAAACAAAAGCTTTCACTCGCGTCCTGTATTCCCTTTTTCTTAAAACAAAATGGGGAAAAAACCTAAAAAACAAAACCCCAACCCGTTCGACTGAAGCAGGTATCATAAATGTATGCTGGTAATGATTCTGTATTCCACAATGCTGCTACTTTAACTTTTAAAATCTGTTTCCTTTCTGGTTTGTAACATTAATCAAAGAACCGCTTCCTTCCAATTTTTCCACAGACTGGGGCTAATTAGAACCACTCGAATCATATTTTGTAAATTCCATGTGGATGTTACTTTAGGTTTCAAGAACGCAAATGCTTCAGGTTCAGTCTGACTAGGCGCTCTTAGGGTTATTTTTATTAATGTTTCTGCCTCTAAAACCAGTGCACGCTTTCTCTCCATCTACCCAAAACACATTTGTGGGTTCACATGTTGGGCTGTATAGGAAATAGGCATTACAAGTTGAGGGGGGGGGGAAAAAAGCCAAGAAAGCAAGAGATTTTGCAGTGTAGTTTCCAGAGAGCACCAGAGAAACCCCTAAGTACTGCGAAGCTGAGGATTCAACAGACTTGATAATTGAGCCCTTAACCTCCTGATGTCTATATCAGAAAAACAGGCTAGCAGAGGAAGACAAAGAATAAAAGCAAATACTGGGGAGGAGGAAGCTGGGGAGACGACTGAAACATTGAAGTATAGTTCAGTGTACGTATAAATCTCTATATTACGTTTCCTTAGGCTCCGTTTTCCCCTCTCACGAAACATAGCTGGTTTAAAGGTGGCTTTGGGAGAACTCTGATGTTTTGAACGCAGCCGAGAGGCTGGTGTTTCTGTAGCACGAACAGCTCTAACTTGGAGAGACTTTTCTCAGAATTGGTGTTAATGTTTCCCCTTTTACTTTCTTTTTTGAAAGACTGACTAGTGGTTTTTTTTTTTTTTGTCTTTATGGAAAGTTAAATTGCTAGAAGTTGGGAGTTTTCAGGTTGTGACTATTAGGCTGTTTGATTTGAATCGAACCACTTTGAGCACCCGGCAGGATGACTGCTTGCATGCTCTGCGACAGTATTTCTCTTCTATATATTTGTGTACCTAAATAGGGCATCCAGGAATTAGGGGTGAGTGGGCTTGCAAGAGGGATCTTAAAGTTAACTTGCTTTTGGTATATAAGACTGCAGCTTCAAAGAAAAGCATGAGCGCGTCGTAAATTTTGCT